GAGCGCAGCCTGTACACACAGTACACAGAGTACACACTCAGTACACACTCAGTACACACTCAGTACTATTACACAGAGTACACAGAGTACACAGAGTAATTACACAGAGTACACAGTCAGTACGCAGAGTACACAGTCAGTACGCAGAGTACACAGTCAGTACGCAGAGTACACAGTCATACGCAGAGTACACAGTCAGTACACAGAGTACACAGTCAGTACGCAGAGTACACAGTCAGTACGCAGAGTACACAGAGTAATTACACAGAGTACACAGTTAGTACACACTCAGTACACACTCAGTACTATTACACAGAGTACACACTCAGTACTATTACACAGAGTACACAGAGTAATTACACAGAGTACACAGTCAGTACGCAGAGTACACAGTCAGTACGCAGAGTACACAGTCAGTACATAGTCAGAGTGTGCGTGCGCGTGTGCGTGCGTGCGTGCGTGTGTTACTCACACGTCCAGCATGTGGCAGAAAGCAGCCACCTCCTCGTCTCTCTCCTCACTCACTTGGAAGAGTTCATATCCAAACCCATTGGTCCTGGAGCCCAGAGACACCTGTCAATCACACAGAGCCGGCCAATCAGAAAAGAGATCTCCACCAACCCACCAATCAGAGGAGAGGGGGACAACATGATGGATTGAAAAAAAGCTCAGAGTGCACGTTACTTTCAACACAGAGGAGGATGATGAGATCAGAAAAACTGTTTGTTATTTATATTCAAATATTCAGTAGCTGCACTAGGATGGCTTGAACACAGCGGTTACCCCTCGTGTGTGCGCTACACTGTGTACATAACATACAGGTTTCATCCTCCAATTCTTCTTATGTATACATGTATTATTCATTTAGTATTTGCTGTGAGTTTGAGCCTCTGGTGTTCAGATCCGGTCCAACTGGTCTGACTGTTTACTGTTCAACTGTGAATGTTTACTTTACAAATACACCAACGATGAATTCAAAATCTTTCTCCATGAACCAGCACAGACACTAGATCAGTACGGTGTAGAGGGATCAGCCTCTCATAGTGAGAACATCATGACATGTGTGTAGCTTGATGTAAACTAACTGTAAATAGAATGACATGGTAGTAAGATCAGGACTGAGCTGGTTGAATGTAATGTAAATAACATTATTATTCATAACAATAAAAATAAGTTTAATACAAATATTAATAATAATAAAGTAATATAAACGTGTACCGGGTCTGCAGACACCCGGCGCTGCCCCCTGTTGCTCGGGGCCACGGGGACGTAGGTCCGGGGCGGGACTTGAGGGGGGAGGGTCTTACTCCGGGCCACGGGCTTCCCTGATTGGTCCCCGTTGGTCTTGCGGCCCCGCGACCCCTGCCGGCCCCCGTTGAGTCGGGACAGCGAGTCGTTGATGTTGTCGTAGTTCAGCCCCAATTTGGGAGGCTCCACTTTGGGAGGGTCCATTTTGGAAGGGCCCACTTTGGGAGGGTCCACTTCGGGGGTGAACAGGTTGACGTCTC